GTGTCAATGATACAACTAATTTCCTGTGTCAATGATACGATTAATATCCTGTGTCAATGATACGATTAATATCCTGTGTCAATGATACAACTAATTTCCTGTGTCAATGATACGATTAATATCCTGTGTCAATGACACAACTAATTTCCTGTGTCAATGATACGATTAATATCCTGTGTCAATGATACAACTAATTTCCTGTGTCAATTATACTATTAATTTCCAGTGTCAATGATACTATTAATTTCCTGTGTCACTGATACAGATTCATTTTTCAGTCGTTAGACAACCGATCTAAGAAGAGCGCTCCAGAGAAGGGTTTTCGCTCGCGGCAGATTCAGGAAAAGCTTAACTCCGAGTCAGACTCAGAATCTCTGGTCAGCCTGAGCAAGTCTGGTTACTCAGTGCAGAACAATGCTGTGTCATCCGATGCTTCTTATGCGTCAATTAAAAACAAGGAAACACGTGATTCTATTTCGCCTCAGCCGTTCAAGACGCAACCTGACGCGGCGATAGACGCTGACGAAGAGCGAGCCTTGGCCGCGGAGACGGAGAATGTGATCAAGGCGCTGCAGAAGGCAGGCAAGACGGTCAAGGTGGTCAAGTCCGAAATCCCTGTTCGTAGGGAGGTCAGGTCCCGAGGTGATTCACAAAGTCCAAGTCCAAAGAAGGGTTCACCCATTCTTCCTAAGGCATCAAAGAAACCCGCGTCGAATGTCGACCCTGCGCACAGCCAAGAGTTTGATCAGCTGAGTTCTTATTTGAAGTGCGATTCCGAACGCAACCGCATCGTCATCGAAGAGGATCAAGAAGAAATGATCGATGAGTTCGGCAACAAGGTGCAGATGTTCGTGAAGACTACCAAGGACAAAGACGGTAAGGAGTTCATCACTCGTCGGACGGCGCAGACCACAAAAATTGTCGACAACATCGATGATATTGATGAAATCCTGATCGGCAATCCGGACCACGAGGTGCTGGAGCGAGACGTCAGCGAGGAGGTCGGTAAAGATGGCAGCAACATCAAAGTAATCACGGAAACGCGTCGTCGGCCTGACGGTGTTGAGTATACCACTAAAAACGTCCTTAAAACCTCCAAAATCTTTGACTATGATCACCCTGAAGACGTGCATCAGTGCGAGAGCGACTTCCTCGTGTCACAGTCGGAAAGTCAGGAGACCGACGAACATGGCGTAACAATTCGCACGGTCACTGAGACGAGAAGAAAGCGCGATGGTACCGAATACGTGACCAAGAAAGTCTACAAAACATCTGGGATGTCGTCACGCATCACACCGTCAGATGATGACGAGGTCATTGACACCAAGGAGACCGAAGAGAAGGATGACGAAGGCAACGTGACGAGGGTGGTCATTGAGACTCGACGAACGGCGTCCGGAGAAGAGTACACTCACCGTCAGGTGTTCAAGTGCCGGAGGATGACACTCACTGGAGTCGAGCTGCAGAAAGGCATGCCTATGATGGACAACGATGATGAGGTGCTCAGCAAGAAAGAGAAGAAAGAAAAGGATGAAAATGGCGCTGAAATTACCGTCGTAACCGAGACCAGGCGTCGGAAAGACGGCACTAAGTACACCTTCGACTACATCCTGCGCAACTTCAAGGGCTCCAAGGACCGAGTGAAGGCCATGCCTGCGCGTGCTGCCGGCGCTTCCAACATCAAGGTGAGTGAGGAGGCCGAGAAGATCAACTGCCTTTTTTTAAGACATTTGGTAGAGCAACTTCATCGTTAGTTCAAAAGTGCTAAAATAACGAGCAAAAGTTGGCAGCAAAATGTACTTATTAGAATTAAAGGCTGAATTGATGAAAAAATTATATTTGGATGGTTTCAGTGATACTATGGTTTTGGTGTTGGTAATTAAAGAGATGTTGGCTGTGTAGGAAACTTTTAATTTAGTTTTCTAGGAAACTTTTAATTTATAGTTTTCTAGTGAGATAACTTTAATATTAAACTTGGTGTATGATGAGACAACTCACTCTCAGTGTTTGATATCGTGCAAATCTTCAAGTAATGCGGGGAAAGCATTCACAGATCAGAAATTTTTATTAATGCTCGTCATTTACATTACTAATAGTGCTAAAATGTTTAGGTCTAAAGATGTTTGTTCATGCCTAGTGTTTGAAATTTCCGTGCTTGTAGTAAGTCTTGGTATTTTACCTTTGGAAATTGGTTGGTTAACTTTTTAGCGCATTTTCTCATTTATGGAGAAATGCACTATTGTGCTCGTCATGTCCGTCTGTCCGTCCGTCCGTCCGTCCGTCCGTCCGTCTTTTAGTCCGTGACTTCACGTTTTCGTCGCCGAGAAAATGCGCTCTCTGTCACTCACTGCAGTGAGTACTGAGTTATATTTTTTATTCATTTGGCCAATCGTCGCAGGTGAGCGAGGACGACGAACTTCTGAAGGAGGAGGTGAAGGAGGAGGAGCAGGAGGACGGTACCATCGTCAAGACGATCATCGAGCGGCGACGTGCCAGGGACGGCACCGAGTATCTTCGTCACCGCATCATGCGCATACCCAAGATCACTGAGCCTGAGCTCACCGTGGGCACGGCCGACGACGAGGTCCTGCAAAACGACGTCGAGGAACGCGAATTCAACGGCACACGCATAAGGTCCGTGACGGAACGCCGCCGTAGCAGCCTCACAGGGCTGCAGTACACCCTCAGAAGGATGTCCAAGACCTATCAGAAGACCCGACGTCCTTCCACGGTACCCGGGGATGAGGTCATCAATGAACACGTCACTGAAGAGGAAGCTGATGATGGTACGATCATCAAGACGGTGATTAGGAGATACCAACGCAAAAACGGGACAATATACACGACCCACAACGTCAATAAGTCCTTCTCTGCCCCGACCGTCGTCACCACCGAGGACGACAACGATGGCGAACTCATCGACCAAACTATGGACCAAAAGGAAACCGACGATGGATTCATCATTAAAACTGTTACAGAAACTTACCAGAGAGCCGATGGACTGCAATACACAATCGAACGCTCCGAAAAGTCTGATAAGAACAGTGCTTCGGTGCTGTACACAAAAGATTATCCTAATCAGCCTGTCGAACTCATTGTTCCAAACAAAGATGACGTTATCCTGAGCCAGGAGTTCGAAGAGCAGCCTGATGACGAAGGCCAAATCACCAAAACGTGCACAGAAGAGCGCATGCGCACCAACGGCAGCAAGTACGTCACTAAGACCACGATGACCATCAAGCCCGTGCTGGTGCCGGAGCATGAGACGAGCTACGTTATCATCAAGCCTGACGACGGCATCGAAGACTCGGAGCTTCTTCCCTCAATGGACGACGAACTCGTGTACACGCGGAAGCGTCAGGAGATAGACGATGATGGAAGCACCATCGATGTCGTTATTGAGACACGTAAGAGCAGAACCACCGGAGAAATGTACAACGTAACTAAGCGTATCTTCTCCACCGATGTTCTCGTCACCGAGAAAGGAGAGAAAGTTCTTAAACGTAAAACGTTGCCAGCTAAAACTACCCCGGATAATCGTAGGAGCTCTCCCGACAAGCTCACCCTTACAGGCACCGTGTCGTCTATGAAGGATAAACTGGCCTCCCGAGGGTCCAAAACCCAGCAGCCTAAGGAAAAAGAGAAGCCGCGTTTGATCCGTGTCAACACCGCCGACCGTAGAAAACTTTTCGAAAATGTCCCGGATAAATCAGTGACTCAGCAGCCGGATTCTCGTGACACGAATGTTCGTCCTTCTGATTCCCCTCGAGCCAAGCCTACCAGTCCATTGAAACCAAGTGAACGGCCAGCAAGCAGAACCAAGCCTGAAGAGCCGAAGAAACCCGCGGTAGAGAAGAAATCTCCCACCACGAAGAAATCTCCTACTGATTCTACTCCTGCTGCCCAAAAGAAGCTTCAGTTATCGACTAGATCTGGTTCTAGGGATTCTATTGATACCAACGGACGACCCGTGGCAAAAACAACGAAGTCATCCACTACTCGTCCCTCTCCACGAGCATCTCGAGACACTTCCCCTGCAGGAGGGAGGTCGTGCTGCAACAGAGTCCATTCCAGTGCAAAGCCCAAGGAGGAGGCCTCGAGTCCAGCCAAACGCCCGATTGCCAGGTCCCCTCCCAAAGACAAAGATGCTCCCCAGGTAAACTCGGACGTCCACGGCCGACGCGGTGGTGCGAAAGATTCAGCACGCCCGAGGCCATCGAACATTTTCGACACGCCTAAACGTACCTCGCCTTCCAAGAGTTCACCCGAAAGATCTGAGAAGAATCCAGAAGTCCTTCTTCAAAAAGAACCCATTGTTTCCTTGCCACAAACTCCACTGGTTGAGGAGGTGAAACTCTACCCAGCGGTAGCACCTAAGGAAGGCGAGCCCATAATTGAAGACGTCACGGAAGACCCCGACCTTCCTAATCATCAAATTCACCGCCCGTCCATTGTCCGTGAACCCTCTGAGTATCTCGGCTCTGAAACTCTGAACAAAGTTCCTACAATGGACACAGATATTGAAGATACGAAGAAAAAAGCCAAGCCGTACTCTAGAAAAAACAGCACCAACATCATGGGTCGGAAGTCACCATCGCCCGCTCGCGAGACTGTGTCCAAAGAACTTTCAAAACCCGACAAGCCCTCGAGGGAAAATTCTCAGCCCAAAAATCCCGTTGATTCGCGCCGTCCTTTGTTCGAGCGTAGCTCGCCCGACCGCGTAGAGCCCAAGCTTACGTCTCGCTCTCGCCCTGACACCGAAGCTCCCAAATCGACACCTGATTACGATGGAGCCGAACCCGTCAACGAGCCTCTGATAGTCCCCAGGTATTTTCTTTGGACGAATGGTGCATATATATTTTCTTAGGATGAATGGATGAGTTTTGTAATAAGATTAATAGTTGGCATCACATCCTCACATGTACTCGTGTTAAATAAAAAGATATCATGACAATAGACGAATAAATAGACATCATTAAAAGTTGACATCATGTCTATTTTTTGGCAGCGATGAGAATATTCTTCTCTCCTCGTATGTCTATCGTTCTGTCGGGGTAGAAGGTTAGACGTGACTTAACTCTACTCAGTCGAAAATATTCAATCCTAGAAGGATTTAAAGATTGTTTGGTTAGCAATGATTAACTTACTGTCTATAATAATTAATTATTCCTCAGTACACAGTATTTCCCTTCAATGTACGTCGTCCGCAGGTATTTCCACCCCCTGGGCGCCACGGAAGACGTTGCTGAGAGGAAGCAGATGTCACCGAGCGCCGCGTGCGATATGACAGCGCCTAAACTCGTCATGCGCCTCACGTCCGTGGACCGTGACCAACCTCATGTCAAACCAGCGCCTTCTGAGCCAACCTCACGTCCTGACCATGACAGGTGAGCACAGCCCTGACCATGACAGGTGAGCACAGTCCTGACCATGACAGGTGAGCACAGCCCTGACCATGACAGGTGAGCACAGTCCTGACCATGATAGGTGAATAGCATGTTTTTTTACCTTATCATCCCTGTCTGATAAGCATGTTTTGTTATTTTTTTTTAATATTCCTTATCTCTACATAGCTAAACGTTATCCAATTCTCAACCAAATTGCTTTCGTTGGCAAGGGCTAATTTTCATCGCCGTTATTCTATGCTTTGTAATTTTCAATTCAATTTTTAATTAATTATGGTACATTTTATTTGTTCACGTTTTTTAATATGGATTCTTTTCAGCTAATGACATGATTATGAGTCTTAAATATCCGAAAGTATCCTAGTTTACAATCTCCTTCTTTTCTTGGACATTCTGGATTACGTTGGAAAATTACAATCGAATCGATCAAATAAATTTCTCCTGACACTGCCCCGTCCCTTAGCGTGGACGCCTCACCGTCCAAGTTCGTGACGGGCCGCCCCATCGACCAGGGCGCCAACGCCACCAAGTTGAAGAAGCTCGAGAGGTCTTTGAGCGGCAAGGTGACATACGAACAGCTCGAGGACCAGAAGGGCAACCTGCCCCCTTATCTCGAGACCATCGAGACCATCTTCGATGTCACCGTGCTCGAAAAGATGGTTAGTCGTTTGCGTTTGCTCGTGCTGTCGTATTTTCTTTGTATATTGGAAATATTGGCCTTCTTTACACGCGTTTATTTCAACCGCTAATAAAATTTATGCTCTTACCTTCAGCTGGAAGAGGCGGAGAGTTACGAAGAGCGTAGAATCATTCGCGGGCAAATTCGAACTGCCAAGAAGCAGCCACGGCCAAATGCCGCCTCTACGGTGCCCACACCTCACCACTTCACGTCCGTTCGCAAGCCCACCAGCCCTGACGGCCGCCCTACAGCCTCCCAATCGCCGCCCAGACGTAGCAGCCCTACCAGGGACGGTAGACTGCCGTCCAAGCTGTTCCAGGAGCCTACGAAAGCAATTCGTCGCGATTCAAAGGACGATTCGTCTGGGCGTCCCAGTGGGGACGCACCCACCGGGACGCGTCCAAGCCCTTTGCGCAAAACGTCAGATCCCGAGAAGCCGTCCACGCTGTCGGCACGCCGCCCTTCCAAAGGTGGGACCTCGAATACTTTATTGCGATTTTGTTTGCATTTAAGAGCGTCTAAATTCATCTCTTAAACTATGGAATTTTACGCAGTGATTGAGTGTAGTATTTCTACTTAATTTTTGTTGTTCATCACGCCAACGGTAACTCTTACAGAAGCGGAACGGAAAGGGGGAAAGGGTGATCGAATAAATGGGTAGATTGAGCAATAAAACAGCGGTAGATCATAATAGATGCCCCTTTCATTTGGCTGTCCAACATGGAAGAAACATGAAAGGCCGTGGAGAATGAAAATGAATGAATGAATATGTATAGAATGAATATGAATGAATTAATGGCTGTGTGAATTGAAGAGGGTATTCGCACCTGGGACAAACGGGAGAACACCTCCACCTGAAGGAGTAGGATGCCGGGGAGCTTTTTATGTGACTGAGCCAGTGCTGATCGTTAGAGGCGAAGAAGTAAGGCATCCTCGAATATCATCGCATTATGAGAGGCATCCAGTTGCCTGCTTTTGACAGTGGGAGATGACAGTGCATCTCCCCGCGTAGAGTTTACTTTGTCTCCTTGTAGGAGCTGGCGGGCATGATACCAGACACGAGATGAGCGGCTTAGCGGTGGCAGCAGTTTACCTAGCAGTTCTACCTAGTGATGAGAGTGTATTTTTATGCTTTGTAATGGCAATCTCTTTACGGGTTTTCTCTTTCTGTTTTCTTCCTATGTGTTTCTTTGCTTTGTTTTGTATGGATGTATAGATTTTTAACTCTGGAAGTTTTTTTGTGTATTTTTTCAAGGGAGTTATCCCCATCGTTTGTCCCTAGGAGATTCTCCTACCGTAACCTCACGGGACGAGCAGAAGAAACCTCTGAAGCAGCAGCGGTCATCAGACCGTCTCGTTAACGGCACCTCGAGACCCTCCGCCCCTCGCAAGGAGCCCTCGCAGGACGACCTCAAAGTCAACGGCACCTCGAGGCACTCCGCCCCTCGCAAGGAGCCCTCGCAGGACGACCTCAAAGTCAACGGCACCTCGAGACACTCCGCCCCTCGCAAGGAGCCCTCGCAGGACGATCTCAAAGTCAACGGCACATCGAGGCACTCCGCCCCTCGCAAGGAGCCGTCACAGGATGACCTCAAAATGAACAGGGCCAACAAGACGTCCCTGTTTACCAGGAGGGACTCCGACAAAATTACGACCAAAACGACCGAAATCAGCGAAACGAAATCGACTACGAAGTACACCAGAAGAAACAGCGAGGAGAGGCGCAAGCCTCTTTTCCCGATCCGAGATCCAGCCGAGAAGAAAAGCACTGTGACGCGCAGGGACAGCACGGACAAGACCCTGCAGAAACGTGACTCAGAGGACTCGAAGACCACCACTTCCGTCACGACCTCCTCTCGGAACGTCACCAGAAAACTTTCGTCAGACCGAACGCGAACGACCGGTAGACCCGATAACTCAGCCATCTACTCGGAACCTTTAAGGCACCAGAAAACCCCTGCCGCTCAACGGCCCGCCTTGAAACAGACCGACGTCGAGAAAATCGTGAGTCCTTACGGTGTTGGTCCCACGGATGAGAACGGCATGCCGCTCATCGGCCTACGGGCGCTCAAGAAGAGGAACAACCAACAGCTGCCGCAGCCGTCCGGTGAGGCTTTTTATGTCTCTCATGCAACCGATATTGCTGGTACATTTGTCTCCTTGAATATTTACTGTGCACTTGCGACAACATCTTTATAACTGTTGGTGGAGTACCTAATCATCATAACGTAGAAGACGCTATAACGTAACAGGAGTAATGACATTGGCATTAATTTCTTAACTCTTTTGTTATTTTTACTTGGTTTAAATTTTCATGCTTCAAAAATGATGCCTTTGTTGGACATAAATTTTGATGATTTATTATCTCCAAATAATCATCGTTATGATCTCCGTTTGTGTTCAGAGCCTCAGGCAGCTGAGGAGCCTCAGCCCAAGGATTACGAACCCACGGACTCCAACGGCAGGCCTCTGTTTGGCCTCAGCGCCCTCAGGGGTGACACCACCACCACCACCACCACCGCCACTTGTAAGTTGCTGCCACCACTTACACCACCACCACCACCACCGCCACTTGTAAGTTACCGCCACCACTTACACCACCACCACCACCACCGCCACTTGTAAGTTACCGCCACCACTTACACCACCACCACCACCACCGCCACTTGTAAGTTACCGCCACCACTTACACCACCACCACCACCACCGCCACTTGTTTGATAGCGATAGTAACGTTGTTTGTGACGTCTCGTAAGTTTTCCATCGTGGTTCCCTCTTCAACTGACACTGTCAACACCTTAACCCCATTTGACCCTCACTCTGCCCTCGGTTTAAACGTCTCACTCTTTACAGAAACTTCGCTTAACTTTTTTTCCTTATCCAGTCTTCTGTTTAATGCCATCGCAATTATTTCTCCCTGACTACACTAGTTTGTTCAGAATAAGTTCAATGCTAAGTGATTACTTCAATATTGAGCATAAAACTGGAGTTAACAATTGTTTTAATTCGATCTTAGCGATGTTGCTGAGTTTAGACATAACTAATACATTTTCGATGGGTATGATTTTTTCTAATACTTGGTATCATGTAGATTTTTTAGTTCACGACTTCCTGATCTAAGTTTTTTAACATCTAAACCTTGTATTTCCATCTCCACATCATTAATATTGATTATATTTTGATTACAGTAACATTTCAATAACATATCATTCTCAGTGCTAATATTTTAATAAGAGATCACTATCAGCGTAATATTTTAATGATGGGCCGTATCCAGCGCCAATAATAATCATAATCATTTAATAATTGACATTAATTCTACATAATTGCATAAAACAATTACAAAACAATAATAATCATTTAATAATAACAATAATTAACATCGTCCAGCTGACGCTAAGGACGCCGTCTCTTCGTCGCCCGCTGCTGCGTTAACGTCGCCCCACGACGAGGACGACGCCATGGACGGTTAGCGTCACGTCCAACATGACCTGTCACGTCATCCAACATGACCTGTCACGTCATCCAACATGACCTGTCACGTCCAACATGACCTGTCACGTCATCCAACATGACCTGTCACGTCATCCAACATGACCCGTCACGTCATCCAACATGACCTGTCATGTCGTTCAACATTAATACTTAACCTGATTTCTTTAATTTTTCATATTGATCCGAAAACTTTTTAATTCAATAACAAACAAAATTTTTTTAATAAAAACTAACCTAACCCGAGACCTGTATTACCTTCTGTATCTCCTGAATAGCTCTGGTTTCCACAATTTTGGAGTTGAATAATAATTTTTTAATTATAAATGATTTGCATACTTTTTGTATACAAATTACACACTAATGCAGCATTTGCTGTGTAGTTTGTGCACACAATATGGCGGCAGAAGTAGTATGTGCACACAATATGGCCGCAGAAGTAGTGTGTGCACACAATATGGCGGCAGAAGTAGTGTGTGCACACAATATGGCGGCAGAAGTAGTGTGTGCACACAATATGGCGGCAGAAGTAGTGTGTGCACACAATATGGCGGCAGAAGTAGTGTGTGCACACAATATGGCGGCAGAAGTAGTGTGTGCACACAATATGGCGGCAGAAGTAGTGTGTGCACACAATATGGCGGCAGAAGTAGTGTGTGCACACAATATGGCGGCAGAAGTAGTGTGTGCACACAATATGGCGGCAGAAGTAGTGTGTGCACACAATATGGCGGCAGAAGTAGTGTGTGCACACAATATGGCGGCAGAAGTAGTGTGTGCACACAATATGGCGGCAGAAGTAGTGTGTGCACACAATATGGCGGCAGAAGTAGTGTGTGCACACAATATGGCGGCAGAAGTAGTGTGTGCACACAATATGGCGGCAGAAGTAGTGTGTGCACACAATATGGCGGCAGAAGTAGTGTGTGCACACAATATGGCGGCAGAAGTAGTGTGTGCACACAATATGGCGGCAGAAGTAGTGTGTGCACACAATATGGCGGCAGAAGTAGTGTGTGCACACAATATGGCGGCAGAAGTAGTGTGTGCACACAATATGGCGGCAGAAGTAGTGTGTGCACACAATATGGCGGCAGAAGTAGTGTGTGCACACAATATGGCGGCAGAAGTAGTGTGTGCACACAATATGGCGGCAGAAGTAGTGTGTGCACACAATATGGCGGCAGAAGTAGTGTGTGCACACAATATGGCGGCAGAAGTAGTGTGTGCACACAATATGGCGGCAGAAGTAGTGTGTGCACACAATATGGCGGCAGAAGTAGTGTGTGCACACAATATGGCGGCAGAAGTAGTGTGTGCACACAATATGGCGGCAGAAGTAGTGTGTGCACACAATATGGCGGCAGAAGTAGTGTGTGCACACAATATGGCCGCNGTCTCGTCATCAGCAGGCACGAGACACTGGGCAGGTGAGACGTGTGTCTCGTCATCAACAGCACCTGCTGCACGCACTAATGCAGCACCTGCTGCACGCACTAACCTGTTCCATGCGGTGCAAAAAACCTTTATTCTATGGTTTTCAAACCATGGGTTTGGCTTTAAACCCCCGAAAATCTCTTTGCAGGGACACGGAGGAGGAGCGCCGCGTCGCGGGGATCCTGAAGAAGACGTCGACGGCGAGCGCCTCTGACGCCCAGTATGCCGCCAGCAGCGTGTCGGGTGAGGTTTCGTTTGATTTTTTATTTTAAATCATTTAAAATTAGTTTATTAGATAATACGATGATACTAATTGATTTAAACTTGCCTGGAATCGAATACAATATTTTCGGGAAAATGTCTTACAATAATACGAACGCAGCCTCGCTATTGGAACACTCGTGCCAGCTGATGTCGTCGTAATTAGGGCTATCCCAATAATATTTTATTTAATAATTGTTTTAAAGAGTTCTAGATTTAGCACTGATAATAGCGATGAGCCAACCGCCCTGTGGCTTTGAGGTCTGCGTGTCTGCCCCAGTCCCCGAGGTCACCACAGTTTGGTTGTCTGCGTGTCTGCTCTAGTCCCCGAGGTCACCACAGTTTGGTTGCTGTCTCTTATACACATCTAGATGTGTATAAGAGACAGAACATGACCTGTCACGTCATCCAACATGACCTGTCACGTC